GGCGCGGCGCGCCAGGCGGCGGCCGCCGGCGGCCGGGCGGCGGAGGCGGCGCAGCCTGTCGTGGAGCGGGCGCCTGGTGCTGTCGGCCGCACCCTCTCAGGTTTGTTTGGGCCCGGGGCTCTCTCCGAGCCTGCTGTTCTTTGCAGAAGCGATGACCTGGATGGAAGTTGAATCTAAAGGCACATGAGAATGCTGTGTAGCGCACCCTTTCCGCGCAACACGCGGCGAACAGCAGCGGTTACTCCCAACGTGCGCCGCCGGCCACAGCGACCCAGTATCGCTTCGCGCCCTGCCGGTTTCGACCCCTCAACACCCCGCAGGCGCACTGAGCATGGCCGCGTGGTCGCTGACGAGGATCGCGGCCGCGGGCATCGGCCTGCAGGCGGCGCTGTTGCGCGGCCTCGGCGGCGCCGCCCTGGGCGCCGGCGGCGCCGCGGCGGCCGCCGCGGGGCCGGTGCTGTCGGCCGGCGCGCGGGCGGTCGCGGCGCCGATGGGCGCCGTCGGGCGCGATCTGCGAAACATGGTGCTTGGGCTCCCGCCTGGAAACCATCAATCAGAAACCGAGGGCGGAGACGCGCCCCCAAAGACACGCTGGGTGGCGCCAGATTTTGAGGCAGACGAGTGGGCGCAGGGCCCGGATGGCAGCTACGCGTTTGCCGCCGCCGCCGCCGGCTTTGGCGGCGCCCGGCCTGTCGAGTTTCTGGCGGCGGCGTCGCTGGATCTGGTGCGGCGCCTGCGCGCGTGCCTTGACCAGTCCGCAGACCGCGTCGAGTCGCTGCGCCGCTGCAAGCCGCGCGAGGCAGGCGGCGCCACCGCCCGCAGCGGCGGCGGCGACGGCCGCGGTGCGCAGGGGGCGCGCGGCGCGGGCGTGGACGCCGCGGCGGGTGGAAACGTTCCGCCGGCCGTGGTGGTGCGGGCAGAGGCGGCGGAAGTCGAAGAGGTGGTGGATCTCTTAGAGGGAGATCTGCGGGAGGCGCTGCAGCTGCTGGACGCGCTTTCGGGCGCCGTCGACGGCATCCAGCGCGGCGGCGGCGCCGCTTGGGGCGCGGGCGGCGCCGCCGGCGGCGGCGGGGGCTGGTCCTGTGGGGTGGCGAGTGGCGGCGGCGGCGGCGACGCGGGGGTGCCGTGGTGGGAGCGGTGGCTCGCGGCGCTGGTGCGCGTCGGCGCGGTGGTTTGGGCGTCGCTGGTGCTGCTGGTGCCGACTGCCTCCTTTGTGCGGGAACTGGTGCTCCAGCCGAGGGAGGCGGTTGCCGCGGCCGCGGCGGCGGCAAAGGCCGCGACCGAAACGGCCGCACAGGTGGTGGTTGGCGTCAATCCAGGCGGCGCCGGGGGCCAGCAGGAGGAGCCCCCCTGCGCGGCGGTGCGCGAGGGGCTCGGCGAGGAAGACGAGCGGGCGCTGCTGCGCGCGGCGGGCGGCCTGGGGGGCGGCGTTTTGCTGCTGCTGCTGGCGAGCAAGGTCTTTGGGCGCGGCGGGGGCGGCGGCGGTTACGGCGGTTACGGCGGCCGCGACAGGAGGCGCGGCCGCAGGCGCGGTTGGGGGCGGCGCAAGGGACCGGTGGGGATTGCGCCGGATGTGCGGGGCGACTACGTCCACCACTACGGTGATTTGATAGTGGGGCCCGCGGGGGTGGTGGGCGCCAGCGCGCATGGCGCGAGGTGAGGTGAGGAGCTGGCGCGGGCGGCAAGGATGGGGACAATTGAGAGCTAGGCGCAGCAAAGCGTTGATTGCATGTTTTGAGTTGCTGCTGGCTGGGCGCATGTTGGTCTTCATATCTTCATGTCCGTGCATGGCAAGCAGCCCGCGGGAAGCAGGGGCAGTTGGCAGGTAGCAGCAGCATCACATGTAGTGTTTGAGCTGTTTTGAGAGCCGCAGTGGAATGCATTGTCGTGCAAGTAAGGACGCGTTCCGAGATGTTTTGACTGTGCTTGTGCCAGCGTTTGCGCACGTACTGGGTTGAATTTGCGCGAGTAGCAAGTCTGTAGTGGTAGGTAGTATATCGTCAGTGGAGCATGACCACCGGGGCGTCGGTATCCGCGGGTGACCTCTGCCACCTAAACATGTCAGCTGCAGCTCTGGATGATGTTCCGAGTGCGCAACCCTCCCACATCATATCATACTGGCTGATTGTTCGCGATTCGCATGTCAAACATCAATTCCTCTGTATATTGACGTTCGAAAGCCCACATAACACGTTGTCACGTCACGGTGAAACCTCCCGCTGAATCTTGATAAGCCCACGGTGGCAGTCTATCCAAGCAAACGCTATGCTGGCTTGGCTGGGAGGATCGTCCAAGCTCAAGAAACGCAAGCAAAAACCTGAGTCCAACCATCAAGGGGCGGGCGTGAAGCGACGGCACGTGGACGTCATGCCGCTGGACACAGCTGCTGCCCGCTGGGACCGTCCAGCCCCACCGCCGCACGCCCCGAGCCAGCAGGTGAAGGCAGACAAGGAGGTGGCCAAGGCAGGCAGCGAGATCCAGAACACCGCGCCCACAGCGGCGCTTGCTGCCGCTGCCCAGCTTGAGCGGCCAGAGAACCAGGTCGCGTCCCCTGCCGCCTCTTTTGATCTGTGGATGCTTGGTGGCCCCGGGGCCGCAACCAGCATGGCACCCACATCCGCAGCCTGCCTCAGCGCTAAAACTGCGCCTCCTGCTGCCGCGACCGTGGCTGCTGAGCGCGCGCGGCGCCTGGCGCAGGAGGCGGCAGAGGCCAGCGCAAGCGCCAGCGCTTGCGCCGGCGCTCCATCAGACGAGCCGCGGTGTGAGGGCATCGAGGAGGGGCAGGACAAGACGCCTGGCGGCATGGCAAGCTCGCCTGTTGCAGGGGCAGCGCATCTGAAGTCTGGAGAAGGGAGGCGTTGGGAGGGCATTTCATCATTCGATTTGGCGTTCCTGGGTGCTTCTTGACTCTTAGCCGAGCTTTTGACTTTCAGGTGCTTGCGCTGAGGTAACCACCAACTTGATATTGGCTGCGGGCTGCAATAATATGCCTTCGGCCGCCGAGGTCGGCCGCCCGTTGCCGCGCTTGACAGTGATTTTCCTTGACTCGCACACTAAGAGAGATTACACTTCTAAACTTGCATCCACAATGCATGGTAGCGGTGACCTTAGACGCAAGAATCAACCATTTGCGCGGTAATCTAGTTTGCATTGTACAGATCACGATATGCGGCCCTTGCAATCGACGGCAGCATGCCCCGCCTGGCACGCGTCGCCGCTCCCAAAGCGGACCGCTGCTGCCCGAGCAGGGCTGCCACATCCAGCCCCGCTGCCACCCTCCAGCGACGGCGGCCGGGCCATGAGCATAAGGGCTTCACTGCGGCGGCAGAACCTGCTTAAGGAACGCTGACACCGCCGCCAGCTCAGAGGGCACCGCGCTGTGGCCCATGCCGCGGTACGTGTTCAGCTCAGCATCCGCCCCGAGCTCCTTGAGCTTGTTGTGGGTGTTGACGCCAAAGCCGTAGTTGACCTGGGGGCCGGGCCATGCGGGGTGGGAGGTGGGGCGCACCGCATGATGACGGCATGTCGAGCCCAGTCTAGGGGTGTTGCGGACGGAGGCTGGTCCGGTACCGTGCCGCATGGAGAGGCGAGGCGGGAACGGGGAGGGGGGGCATGCAGGTCTAGCATGCGGGCTGCACCAGTGGAAAGCCATGCATGGCCAAGCCGTGCGCTGCAGAGGCGCTGGCACCACATGGCCGCAGGAAATTCAGGGACCTCCCAACAGTGCCCTTTGAGGTGAGGGTCGCCGCCCCATGCCTGCCAGCCGCAGCCGCGCTCACCACCATGTCCGCGTCCCCATGGCACTGCAGGACGGGCGTCTTTGCATTGGCCGCACTGAGGATACCGGGCTCGTTGCGCAGGGGCAAGTACGTGCTCAGGCCTGGGGTTTGAGATTTATGGGGTTGTGGTTCATCAGCAGTCACATGCACGTTCAGTCCATGGCAGCGGATGCAATGGCTGCCAAGGGCTTCACCAGGCATCGAGAGGCTTGAACCTCTGTCCCTCTTGCCATGCACTTGCCATGCACATGCAAATGCTGCGCATGCATGTGTGCATGCGCACATGCGTCGCCATGCATGCCCAGCCCACCGGCCCCCATGGCCACGCACCCACGATGCCTGCCAGCTTCTTCTCAGATCGCAGCATAAGCAGCGCCACCGCGCCGCCCTGGCTGAACCCCGCCACCACGATGCGGTCGCTGGGGACGCCCTCGCGCTCCTCGGCGGCAATCAGGGACTCGATGTACCTTTCAGGGGTTGGGGGGCCCGAGTAGGTGACTTGTGTGCATAGCGTTGGTGGTATGTGCAAAGGGTTGGTGGACTGCAGGCACGCGACGAGAGTGGCCGCATACATGATGGAAAAGCAACATAGAAGGAATGGAAGTGCAGGCAGGCACAACGCCGCCCTCTATCAATGAATTCACTGCAAAAGGATTGCTGTTCATAAGATGAGAGCAGCTGCTGACCCGAACGACGAGGAAAGAAGGGCGAGCAGCAGCGCCAGGCTGGCGCCCCAAGCTCGCACCGCTTGCTCTCCACAAGCCCCGCTTCGTCCTCTTTTTGGTCGATGTCCTCCAGGGATGAGATATCGTACCAGCCCGGCATGCGCATGCCCTTGTTGATGCTGATGGGGCGCTGCAGGGGCCAGGGCAGGGCGCGGCCGGGAAGGAACGGCGGTTGGACGTGGGTTGCGGAGGGTTGGATCTGTACTGCAGGTGGCAATGCCTTTGTGCAGACCCGTAAGGGTACACGGGGAGATGGAGCTGCAGCACTGCCGTTCGAATGCCATTCCCACAGCCACAATGTCAAGCACCAGCAGCAGGGCTGAGGCGGGCAGATCCTGACCATGGCTGACGCGCATCCCCCACCCACCAGTGGCGCATGGGGAAACACAAACTTGACCTGCGGGTTCCCCGGGGCCCACTCGTCACCAACCGCAGCCCAGCCGTCGCCGGAGTCACCCAAGCCGTCTGGAAAGCAGGGCAGCGGCAGGAGACGCGGATTCGAGCAAGTGTAAGGGACGGACGGCCAGCTGCATGCAGCAAGGTGGCATTTGGATGAGAGCGAATTTCAGGGTCGGCACAAGCAGCACGCGGCAAGTCGTGTGTCGATGGGGCGGTGCGGATTGCAAGTTGGTCGGGCGATCGCGTTGGAGCTCACGCAGCATGAAGACGGTCGCGGTGTGCTTCTGCTGCGCCCGCAGCACGATGGGCGGCCGGTAGTTGAGCGGCATGGTGTCCACGCCGCTGCCGCCGCTGTATGCCCTGGTAGCCACGCCCCCGACCCGCTGCTGCTGTGCCTGCTGTCGCTGAGCACCTGCCTGGCGATCGGCAGGGGCCGCCGCAGCAGGTGCTGCTACGGGCGCAACACGTGCCTTGCTGGCGACTGAGCAGACTGGGTTCGGCCCAGCCACGCCGTTGGTGCCTCCACACAGGCGCTTCAGGTGAGGCCGTGCAAGGTGCAGAAACACGGGCATGACAAGCACAAGGAGAGACGCGATCAGCAACACCCGTGTGGTCTTGGATAGGTTGATAGGATCCAGTACTACCAATCGACGTGCTATTCTCCTTGCCACGGGCGGTGATCTGGCTTGTCTGACTCCGGTGACCCGGGCGTCGGGTGTGTCGACCCGCTTCTTGTCAGAGAATACACGATGTGCTTTCTCTGACATAATTTCCAATGAAACAATGGACGATGCCGCTTTGTCTGCAGAACAGCACCCTTCGCCTATTGAACGCCGCTTGTCGTGGCCACTGGCCAGGCGGTGTCGGGTGTGTTGGGCTGAAGGGGCCACCGAATTGCATGCCTTCCGCGGTGGTGAATGAGTATCACGTATAGAGGGAGGAAGAGAAAATCACAACGCAGTGTGCACGATAGGGCTATGTTGCATTTGCACACACGACCAGAACCAACAAGTCCATGGGTTGAGGGCTTTCTCTGGCCTTGCACAGCACAACCGCAACCGTTGCCGTACACGTTTGAAACTTCGCTACATCATCCGATGCGCGCTATCAATATCCAGGCGCCACCACCCTGACAGGTCTATCGGGGCGATCCAGGCAAGGCCGCGGACCCTGTTGTACGGCCCGCCTCCAGCGGCCTGCTGAAGAACCAGGGTCGGCCCAGCTGTCCTTGCCAAAACCTGTGGACCATGACTCATAAAGTGGACTCTTGTAGAGCCTATGCTTTTGGACGTGTGCTTGTCTACTGCTGGCTGTGTGCTGGCCCCCCACCCTATAATCAACCACTTGCATCGCATCGCCGGCAAGGTTGGCATCTCGGACATCTGCTGGCATATATCTGCGGTGTACAAGGGAGCCTGCTGAGTCGCACAGGGTGTCAAACACGATCACAGCATGCCAATGTATGCAAGAATGACAAATGTATTGGCTACAATCATGGCGAGAGGCGGCGCCCAAGGTGAAAACTGGGTGATTCAAGTGCAGTGGGTTGCGCCACACACAACCCAGAAACTCACAGCAACATGATGCGTGCACAGCACCTGCGCCACCGATGCCACACGGTGCAAACCTGCATGCCCATGTTGATGAAATTTATTAAGTAAGGCCGGAACGCTATGCATTTCTTGCGGTGTTGTTGCCAGCACCTTGGTGAGAAACTTCAAAGCAGACTCGGATATTACATCGAGGTAGTGTTCGACTGATCTTCACATTTGTGGGTTTATACACAAACACCAATGCCCCCGCGTGCCACAGCGACCTGGTGGAGAGCGGCAGAGCAACAACCCTGAGACCCTGCCCCGGCCTAGTGGCCAGCAGCCGCTGGAGGGGTGCCGCAGGCTGGGTCAAGGGGCAATGACAGCGTAGCGGCAGGCAAGCTCCCGTTTGCACTGTCAACAGTGGCCTGTTGCTGCTGCCTATTACTGGTTCTGCTGCTGCTGCTGTTGCTGCTGCTGCTGCTGCCGCTGCTGCTCTGCAGGGGCAGCCGCCTTGCTACGAGCCGACGACGGCTGAGTCCGCATAGCCTGCTGCAGCTAGGCTGCACCCGCTCCAACAGCACGTTTGTCGGTCCCAGCATGCGTTGCATTTCTTGGGGCACCCGCCTGGGCAACCCGTGCAACGGCGGGCTTGGCTACACCTGAGGCGGAGGGGCTAGCGGGCGCCCGTTTCGGCGGCGCCTGCGGTTGTTGCTGCTGCTGCTGCTGCTGCTGCTGCTGCTGCTGCTGCTGCTGCTGCTGCTGCTGCTGCTGCTGCTGCTGCTGCTGCTGCTGCTGCTGCTGCTGCTGCTGCTGCTGCGGCTGCGGCTGGCTCTGCTGCTGCTGTGGCTGCTGCTGCGCGCCCATTACGGCCTGCTGCTGCGCCATCATTGCCTGGTACATGGCCGCCTGCTGCGCCTGCGTCGAGGCCATGGGATTCTCGCCAACAGGCACGGGTCCCATCATCCCGCCAAACATGGGCGGCATGGCGCCGCTGGGGCCTGCAGCGAGTCCCCCCATAAAGGGATTTGCCAACATTGGGTTGGGCAAAGGCGCAAGGCCACTGCCGGGCGACCTGCCAGAAGGAATACCTGGCTCTGAGTCCATGAACTCTGACCATATGCCTGTCGGTGCGCCCAGCAGGCCGCGGCTCATGATAGCGGCGTCCAGCAGGCCGCCGCCCCTGAGGGAGGCGGCAGCTGCGGCTCCACTGCACAGGAGCAGGAGGGCTGGGGCAGTGGGCGGGGATGAGCTGGTGAGCAGACAAGCAGCAACCATGCTGGTGCGGTTCTCCACCAGATTTCAATTTGCAATGTACATTTCAGACAGCGCGGGCAACAGCGGCCTGCGTATGGCAGGTCCCAATCGAATTCAGTATCGCGGCGCAGCGCGAGCGGCGGTTGCAGCGGCGGTCGTGACCAACTTGCTGCGTTTCATTCACGCTTGTGCTGATCACGTCAAATGCATGCATCCGCATATAATTCGCAATTCTCACCCGCCACGCTGCGAGCCATCGTTTTTATACACGCTGCTGTAGACAGCTGAGCGCGACGGTTTCAGCTGAATGTGATCCTGATGAATTGAAAGCGGTCATTTAAAAGTTTTCGGGCTTGCTGTGTTTGCCGGCACCATCGTCCCAGGTCGCAGCTGCGCAGCAACGACCAGCACCCGACACACCTGGGTGACACCAGCCCACTTGCACTGCACGCTTCCAACTCGTTCGACCATGAATCAAGGAGCGGTACCCCCACCAAAGATTGTATTGCATTAAGGTCACGACTCTCGGCACTGCCTATGGAGGTATGGCTCTACATGATGAATTGCCGCATGCGACGCGACTTGACTCAAGCACTGGCAATACCCTCCTGCCTGCATGGATGGCACAAGGCCCTGCACAAGAGCAGTGCCCTGCCTGTTGGCAGGTCAACTCCTGGATTGCTTTACATCGCCCGGCCGCAGCGATGCGCCGCCAGGGTTTTGTGTGGCATGTGTGGCCACCGCGGGACGCAGTGTGTTGGTTCCGCGCAACTGTCGGCTGCGGCCGGATCCCTCTTACCACATCACATCGCAACACACCGTAGCAGACACAGGAGGGCATCCCAACAGCCACCGCATGCCTCTCCCATTCTTCCCCCCAAAAAAGTGCCGGCCAAGACAAGCACGGGCAAAGCTGCTCGCCCACAGGGGCCGCAGGTTGGCCCCAGCTCGTGCGAGGCGAGCAGGCCGTAGCCCTGCTAATCGCGGTGCTCCCGCAGCTCTGCCTCCTTGGCCTTGCGTAACCGGTCCGTCTCCGCGATGAAGCGGTCGTAAAGCTTCTGCACCTGAAGCGGGACAACAGGAGAAAGGGGGGGATCCGGGCCGGGCCCGCGTCAAGACGACAGCCTCTTGGTTGCCCACCTGCGTGCGCGCCCAGGGTGGGCAGCGGCCGCCCAGCGACCGCCGAGGCGCCCGCGGCGGCGGGGTCAGCAGGGGCCGGCTGTTCTCCGCCCCCGCCACAACGCACGGGCTCCATCCGGCCGTTCCCCCGGGCGCGCTCCGCCCCGTGCCTTCCCAGGTGGTTGGATGACCAGCAACGCACCTCCTTTTCTGCGCGCTTGCGGTCGTCCTCGGAGGCGCCCTTGAAGGCCTTCTTGGCGGCGTCCATGCCGCGCTGTCGCGCGTGCCGGATGCTCTGGTGGGCTGCCTCCTGCTCCATTGACACCAGCTTCACCATCTGGGGAGCAGACGGCGGAAAAGGAGTGGGACACAAGAGTTTTGGCGATGATTGTGAGTGTACAGAGGGAGAGACAAAGAGAGGGAGTGTGTTTGTGTGTATG